GGCATCCCATCCAAGCCCGGCGCCTTAAGCCGCCAGTTCACGGCCCCAACATTGCTAAAAAGAAAACTCGTCGCCTACAAAATTTTCGGAGGCCCAGTGCCGTCGATATATCCAATCGGCGGCGGGCGGCCTCCAAAAAGGGCCTGCGACCGATAGCTGGATGTACTAATGGTTTAAGACGGGGAAGGTCTGCAATTGCTCTCTCCACCTCCCACAGTTTCACGTCCTTTTCTAGTCTGCAAGTATTTACCAAGTCCAGCCGATTGCGAATGTGCCTCCACTCTGCTTTCTCCGGTTCTTTAGCCATATCCTCTAGTGTCCAATCTTCCTCTTCAGTTAGCAGACAGCGATAAAAATCCGTAACGCATTTCAAGATCCCCTCGTGGTGAGCTGTGTTGCCTGATTGTCATCAAAAGGGGGGTCCATCGTTGTCATCAGCGGACCCAGTTTGTGTGTGCCCACTGTAGCAAAGAACCTTTGCGCCATCTGTTCCCCCACCACAATCCATGACTCCTTAGTTCGCCTTCCCCATTTGACTGCTTCCTCCGGCTGCCATTCCATCCATCCTTGCGCCGCCATTCATCCTTTGTTTGCTCTGCTGCTGGGCCGCTATTTAACTCCTCCATTCTTCGGGTATACTCTTCCACGGTACGTTGATGCGCCAGATAGCTATGTCTCAACAGTCTGACCAACCGTTCTTGCTGGTCCTTAGTCGCCTTTGCTACATGGGCCAATAAGTTCTCCTGCGGACAGTCGTTAATCCAGCCTTCCCAGAACCGGGTCACCTCAGGCTGGAGCTCCGTGCTTTTGAAAACCCATGCCGGAATCGCCTTCGGGGGGTGGCCCATCTCCAGGTGGCCCACCGGAAAACTTGGTATTACCTAGGCTGGGCCAACGCCCGGCCGGGGGGACCCCGGCCGGTCAGGCCTGGGGGGGTCCGCCCGGCGAAACCGGCGGCGCAAAACCAGCAGAACTTTTTTTTTTTTTTTTGATGGTGGGGTGTTGCTGCGCTCCCCAAGAGGACCCCGAATCCGCGATAAAAAAATAATTTGGGGGGGGGGGGGGGGGGGGGGGGGGGGGGGGGGGGGGGGGGGGG